AGTGTCACTGGCCCTCATATGTGGGATCCGAACCGGGGCCCTCTGGCATCCCAAGCGAGTTCTTAACCATCGCGCCACTCGGCCGGCCCTGAAATGTTTATTTTTGAGCCACCTCTTCTCTTTGAATTGAGAATCTGTTCATAGTAATTCCTAACATTTATTGAGTGCTTACTGGATGCCCAATGATATACTAAGTTTTTAAAGGGGATTGTATCATTCAATCCTCATAGTAATCCTGTGAGGCAGGCATTATTATCATCTCTCTATTTTATAGTTGAGGAAACTGAGGCACAGAGGGTTAAACATTGATAGAGCTGGGAAGTATAGTCTGTCATTTCCAAAGCCTGTTTTCTTTTCCTTTTGTTCTTCCTGTCCTCTCCAAGTGCCCCACATTGTTCTTCATAATTTTCACTACTCTCCATGGATTCCCCATTCTTCATTCCTTCTGGTCCCATCCCAGAGCCTTTTAATTTCTATCACTTCTTCCGAGCTCCTCTCAAACCCCTCAGCCCCTCCTGTTATTCCCTGGTTGGCCTTTCCTCCAACACTAGCAGCCCCACTAGTCTTTCCCCGTATCCTCCTGGTTTGGCAGTCTCTCGCATTGGATGCCCTATCTGCTCATGTTCCTCTATATTCTTCATTTCCACTTTACCTTCAGATCTCTCCACAGTTTCCTTGGGCCCCCTCTCCCAGTACCTCCTTATTCCCCAGAGTTCTGTCTGTCTTTGGACACTTCTCAATCATTTCCAAACCCCTCAGGGCCTCTTTTGGAGTCACTTTTGGACCCCCATTTGCCTGCCTTCTTACTTCCCAGTGCCTTCCATTCGCCTTTCTTTGCATCCTGCTCAAGTCCTTTTATTCCTTCTTTGTTGTTGGTTTTTCCCCCAAAAAAGGGCTTTATCTTTTAAAAATTTAAACAAAGTATATACATTATTTAAAAATTCATGCAGAAAACCATGAGGAAGAAAATAAAAAATCATGTGAAATCCCATTGCCCCAAAAAAATGACTATTATCATATTTCATACCTTTCTCTATGCTTATACCAGCACACACAGAGACGTTTATGTAAATAGAATCATCGTCTGCCAATTTCATTTTTCTAGTTTCTCAACCAAACCTTGGTGTCATCCTTGGACCCTCTTTTACTCACATGCCTTATCTCCAAATAATCACAAATCCTGTTGGTTCAACTTCCAAGTATTCAAGAATCTGATCCACTTTTCACCACCACCACTGGCACAACCCTGGTCTAAACCACCTTACTGTTTCATCTGAATCATTGCCATAGCCTCCCTCTGTTTTCACTATTGCTTCAACAGTCCATTTTCTATACCATACAGCAGTCAAAGTGGCCCCATTAAAATATAACACAGGCCGTTCTTTTGCTTACCCCTTCTGATTTCCTGTCTCACTCAAAATAAAAGCTGAAGTCCTCACAGGGGCCTCCAACGCCAACATGATCTTTATCTCCCTTCTCCCCCCCAACCTCATTGGCCTCCTTCCCGTTCTTCATAGCATGCGCCTGCCTCAGCGACTTGGTACCTTTTATTTGTCTAGAAAGCTCCTCCCTTATCCTCATGCATTCTCCCTCACTACCTTGGGTCTGTGTTCAAATGATACATTATAAAAGGTACCGTGCCTGACAATCCTGTCTAAGATAGTATCCCCCAACCTACCCATCCCAGCCAGCATTCTCCATCCCCTTATTTGCTTTTTTATTATAACACTTATCACCACCCAGCAGATATATCTATGTCTATGTATTTATTTTTTTCCTGGAGCATATAATGCACTCAATGAATATTTGAATGCATACTGAATAAGTGAGTATCAAACATGTGCATGTTCTGCCAAGGCATCCGACCTCCTAGAGCCCCCTGGTATCGGACTAAGGAATGGGCTTTTCTGGGAAAGTGAGCAGGTCCACCCAGCAGAGAGCACGCCAGGTCAGGCGCTGTGGTTATGGCTGCTTTTCCTTCTCAGAGGGCAGGCATGAGAGAAATTAGGTCAGTGGGAAAAATAAGCTACCTGGGTCCAAGGAAGATCCCGGTTTAAATGCAAGTTGTTTATCGAGTTGTTTGGAAAAGTCATGTGCCTTTCACCTGGTGACTTTGGGGCCCGTAGGAAGCTACTGTCCTCATCACAGGGAGGCTGAGTTTGACTGCGGCCCCTTCCTTCTCAGAGAAAGGGGAGTCCTGGTCTCAAATATGTTGTCTGGGCAACCCAGAGTGAGGTCCAAGGTTACTTTCAGATAGTTCTGCTTATCACACCACAGTTAACAAGGCATGTTCCTATGAGATGGGGAATTATCTCTTTTTTACCACAGATGTGTTCCTCTAGACTTATGCATGGAGGGTTAGGGGAATGCCTTCTGACCTCACACTCCCTGTCCCACAACAAGCTAACAGCACAGACACTGCTCTGCTGTAAGTTGCGTAGTAAAGACCAAGAAGGCGATCTGGGATAGCAGCTAGCCTTAGATTAAGTGAGGAATAGTTGTCAGATGGGGTTTATATTGGTTGTGATCACAGTCTTGTCTTGGGCTGAAAATATAAGCAAGTTGAATAGAGTAGGGTTCACAAAAGAGACCTATATGGTCATAAAAAAAAGGGATTTGACATGAGAGCCTGACATACTCATCCATCAGGGCAGACCTTAGCTCTGAAGGCAAGTTGAAAGCCCTGGCCCACACCAGGGGTGCTATGAAGGAAGATTGATAATGGGGGCTCCAGCCAGAACAAACAGCCCCTTTTTATCTGTGATTGGAGTCTTCAAAGAAATCTCCTGTGTGGAATCCCCCAAATCTTGCTTCTAGATGTCAGTGCCATACCTTGTTTGAATTCTGAAAAAGATACCAAAAAGATTTCTGGATATAAAATATTTTCTTGATTTCATGACGGGTAGGAGACAGCGTATGATGACACGATGACTTGGTATGAAAATATGTAATGTTTAGCTATGTTAATTTTGTAAGAGCTGATCAAGGTCATGTAAAGTTCTCTACTCAAAGGAATTCTGTGATTAATTATTTTTATTTAATTATTTACTCCTAAATATATGTTTTTGAGAATCGAGGGATTTTTATTTGTATGATTCACACATTCTCTCTTTCAATATATGTGAATTTCAAGTTAAACAAAGTCATCCAAAATAAATTCTTGATTTTTTTTTTGTGTGAAGAAACTCATGAAATATCTGATCATGATATAAAAGTATGCATTTTTATATTTAGTAATATATCTGTTTCAATACCTATATTCAGATTGTTTGTAACTTTTATATATAGCATATTTTAGAATTTTACTATAGTAACTTTGCCATAGATTCCTATGTTGAATCTTTTCTTTCTTAAATACCATCCAGAAAACAGCATGGCTGCTCCACAATCACTTTAGGTACTACTGCTTTCTGAATGATGAAAAAAATATAGGGTTTAATACCACATGGCCTGATGTCTCTGAACTTTGCCCTACACTGTGAATTCTCAGTGGTTGAAATATCATAGTCCAAAATCTCATAACATTTTCCATAGGAGAGGAGGGGCTTCAATTATAATTCTATTTCAGTTGTCTTTCATTGAGAATTACAAGGAAAGACTATAGAAAAATCATATTGTATAACATTAAGCCTTAAGTGAGTTCCTCTATGTTCAATGAAATTTCTTTATAACACCGTTTCAGCTTGATCTTGAACTGGGTGGCATGGATCAGAAAGACAATTCATAGCAAGGTTCTGGTGCATTTCATTTATATGTATATTAACCATTGGAAACCAACATGTATACTTATTTTTCTTTTTGGTATTCAACAGAGACCAGTAGATGATAGTTATCATAAACATGTTTCACTTGGTGATAATTTACAAAATTTTGCTGAAGGCCCAGATGAAGATTGTATGGAAGAAGTAATTTTTCCAGATTTACTTGAAATAAAAGCTGCTGAATATGAAGATGGTCAAGAACAAATAAAAAAACAACAGGCAAATATTTTTGTGCCAAGTAGTTCTCCAGGTAAAGTTCTTTTACAGTAAAATATTCAAGTCATTAATGAATCGTATTAAAGGATAATAGTTTCTTTGTATACTGGATAGATAAAAAGTATTGACCTAGAATTATAGAATGTTTTCTATATTTGTTCCCCATGCCTTCTCTGAGTTTAAGGGAATCGGTTAAAATAACTCATTCACTTGTGTGTGTGTGTGTGTGTGTGTGTGTGTGTGTGTGTGAGAGAGAGAGAGAGAGAGAGAGAGAGAGAGAGAAAGAATGTGTATATTCAGACTTTCTGCTAGACTTTAGTGGTAGGGTACACGATAGTTCCCTTTTGCTTCTTGTTTGGTCAATACCAGTTTAATATTTCAGACTTTCAAGTAATATATAGGTTTTGTTATTAAGTGGTCAACCGGTGTAAACTGCCAAAAGATAGGATACCACGCATTTTAGAAGATGAAGGATTCTATATTCAGAGAAAGCCAGAAATATATAAAAAGACCTGCAACAAAGTGGAAAATCGCCTGCTTAAACTAGAAGAGGCAAGTGCACAGCTAACAAACCACTCACTGAGAGTATGCGATACTTGTTTTTAATGTATTATTGAATTACTATGTTTCTGTGCATATTTTTGATAGGGAATATTTTGGTTTGAACAAAGTGCTGAAATAATGTCATTACCTTCACCTGTTAGACATTCATGGAATTTCAGACTAAACATAAATGAGGAATCTTTAAATCCAGCACTAAAGACCATATACAGAAAGGTAACCAACAACAGTTTATTTGGAATTATTGTTAGAATTCTTGTAATGTCAATTATAACTTACGTTTTTGTGGTGTTAATTCACCGTCCAAAGATATTAATAAGTCTAGTAATATAATGTTAAAACTATTATGAAATGTTAGCCATTAAAATTATGCTTTGAGGAATATATAATGATATGCAGAAATGCTCAAAATAAAATGTGAAGTGAATAAAAGCAGAATGAAAAATTATATAAGATCCTAATTTTATAAAAATCAATTTATCAATGAATGGACAAGTATGAATACATATATGTGTATATAGATAAAAGACTAGAAAATATATCAAAGTTAATAATTATCTCTAGATAGCAGGACATAGGATTATTTTTATTTTACTCAAGATATAGCACAGATATTTTAACATAAGTATCAGAGACCATTGCTTTGGGGAGAGAGGTCCTTGAAACAATGGCAGTTTGTTGAATGAGTAAATACTTGAATGAGTGAATTAACAAAGGGATGATAACAAGTAAATGAAAAATATACAATTTTTGGAGAAATATGAACCACCACCCAGATTAACCTTTGTCAACATCCAGAATCTCAAGTTGGAAACCACTGGGCTGAACAAGTAACTTTTTCCTCTAGTGTATCATCCAAGTACAATTTCAGTATTTGATGGACTCTTAGAGTTGGAAATAAATGTATATGTCACTTCACCAAACATCTAAACTGAGTATTACAATTCATTCTGTAGTATCCTTAACAGGTAATATTCTGGAAATTGTGTCAGACAAATGCCTTTGCCTGCTTTTCCCTTCTATCGTCTCTACATTTTTTTATTCTGCCCAGCCAGCCTTGGAGGCAATGCTTATTTGGGGGTTTTCACCAGAATAAATACATATAAGGGGAACGGTAGGAGAGATAATAGCTGCCGGAGTAGCAGATTCCTCTCTTTGCTGCTGCCTCTGCCAGGTACTTCACTACCCTGTTGTGTCTGTACAACCCCTGGGCCTTATTTGCTTGTTATTTGCTGACTAGTTTTGCATGATGATTTGACTATGAGTTTTACTCCTTCTAGCCTTCTTACATAGTTGCCGAGATTTTACACATGTCATCAGCTTGGATGTTTTTGTGCTTTTACCAAGCTTTGAGTCATTGTTGCCGAGATCTTCGTGCTTTTGTTCTAGCATGCTTATCTCGTTCTAGAAGTTCACTTAATCACCAGCGTCATGGAGCTTACCACCTCCCAAGAGAATTCATCCCAGTATTAGCCAGTTATAATTGTTTATTGATTGTGTATTATATTAAAATCTGCCTCCTGGGTCACTATTACTCATTTGACCTTGTTTGATCATAAGAAACTCATAAAGTACTTCATTTATGTGACAGCTCTTCAAATATTTGAAGCCTAAGGTCACTTCTACCTTTAGCTTCTGCTTTCCATTTTAAACTCATTTCTTTTGACTGTTGTTAGATATTCCACCATCTCAAATACTTTTATTTGGCTTCTGAGCACCAGTCAGTAGGTACTGAATAGGACAGGACCAAGGGCAGAGGCTTGAGTCACTCCAATAGAAACCCAAAGAAAGTAAGCAACACAGTTAGTTATGCAACCAGTGCTGAATCTGCTTAACAAGACAGGCATCTCTAGCTTAGCAACTTTAATTTCCAAAATTTCATTTATAATTTGATTGTATATTTCCTTGGTGGTTTAGCCTGGCCAATTTCCTACTGATTAACTAAACCTTATAGATGGGATTAAGAGATGGTTTTCTCCTGAGTTGACCCTCACATAGAGAATAGAAACACAATAATAATAAAACAAAACAAAAAAGCTTTATGGCTTTTCTCTTGCCTCCCTTCAACCCAGTGAGGGAAAAGGGGAGGATTCCTAGCTCAGGAGAAAGTAGAGAGGAGAGATGTAGGCATCATACTGGTGACATACAGTCCTTGAAAAGCACTGGATTTGCCATACCAGGCCAGAGGTGGGACAGCAATTGTTTCAGTGTAACAGCAGGTATAAAACAATTGCACAGACTGGAAGCCCTCTCCAGTGACACCAGACTGCTTCAGAAAGAGGACTTCGGCTCTTCTATTTAAGTGGATGCAGCCATGGCTGTTACTGGGAATGGCTAGCTATTTGTGAATTAGACTATACATGCTAAGTAACCTACTAGTCCTCTCAAATTATATCACTAAAAACCAATCACATGCATATTCAAGTATATGTGCTTAAATTCAAAGTAGTGTGTTAAAACATAGTTGAATCATTTTGCATATAACTTGAGGCCTACAGACTTCAACTAATTTAGGGGCAATCTGGTATCCAAATGGAGACAGTCTCATTAATAAAGAAAGATGGACTCCTAATAAGGTAGCATTTGCTTAGACGGTCCAGGTCTCTCTTGGGAATTTTCCAGGGGATTACCAACATATTCACTTTAGAAAAACATTTTAGTAAGGGTTTAACTCTGGCCCACAGCTGACTATTATATCATCATATAGTTGAACTATTGACTCAACAGTTGTAAACACCATTTGTTTTACTGTTCCTATAGGAAATCATTTGGGGGCTTACAACTTGAAAGTCCAACCTCTACCAGCACACAATAGTAAGGTAGATGATAATAATTTCTAGCAAGATGATTATAATGATGTCACATAAATATATGAAATCAAGGGCCATAATACTCAAGGAAGAAGAATCAAATTGTTTTTTGCTTTTCTGTATCTCTCAACTTTCTTAAAATTAACACATTACCTTTATATGGAAAAGTTAGTTGTACTTTTAAAAGAAATAGCATCAAATTAATTTTGTGTGCATATTTTCTTTAAAAGGCAGTAAAATCCGATCTAGAAAGCTCTATTGGGAAGAAAATGGAAGGTCAAAGAGAAATGTACCAGCTAGATCTCAACATTGTGGGTTTGCAATTTAGCCATCATCCTCTCTTCAATCAAGAACAAGTATTATGTGCTAGGCTGCTCCAACTTTATGAGTGTTTTCAAGACAGGCAACAACAGAATTTATCTCAACTGCTTTTGGAAAAGGTGAGAATGGTTTTCATTATGTTATTGGGCTGAATATTTAATATTGAAAGAGCAAGCAAACTTCATTGTACAGAGAAAGTTATCATAGAACACTTTTTCTTAGTACTTTAAATACTTAACCAATTAGAACAATGGTTGATTTCAGTTTTTCTGAAAAGAAACTGTAGAAGTTGACTGGCCAGGGAAGCAGCCTCAAAGATATTCTGCATGATATTTAGCACTTGCAAATCATTTACTAATCAGTGTTATTCTTGGTCCTATGACTCAAGAAGAATATTTGAAATTATTACTTTTTAAAAGAGCCATATGGCTGTTTTAAGTCTTATAATAGAGTATTTTGATAAAAGCATTAGAGATCTTGCAGTACCAGACAAGATGGCAGAGTAGGTAAACACTATGCTTCCCTCCTGTCACGACCACATCAAAATTTCAACTGAACTACAGAACAAGCATCATTGGGAATCATCTGACGTCTAGTTGAACTGGGGTCTTATAACTAAGGACATATGGAAGAAGCCACCTCAAGACTGGTAGAAGGGGCAGAGATGCAGAAGCGGCTGGAGATCCAAACCCAAATGTGGCAGTTAAAATTGGGAGGGATATCTTGGCTGCAGAGGTCCCCCTGGAGGAGCAAGGGGCCCCAGTCCCATGCCATGTCCCCAGCCCAGGGTTCCAGTGCCAGGAAAAGAAGTCCCCACAACTTCAGGCTGTAAAAACAGGTGGAGATTATGGCTGAGTGAGACGGAGGGCTGCTGGAGTCTCAGGCATTCCTCTTAAAGGGCCCGTGCATGGACTTACTTGCTGACTGACTCACTCGCTCTGAGCTCCAACTGTGGGGCAGCAGTTCAGAAGGTGCCAGTGACATATAAGGAGGAACTGAATTGTCTGACTTCAGGGCAAGGGCTGGATGGGTGGCTTTCTCCCAGATACAAGTGCTGGCAGAAGCCATTGTTCCTTTGTTGAGTCCTTCTCTCTCCCAGTGTGCAGATGCAGGCGGCCACCACTTCTGAGTCTCCACCAACTTGGCTAACACTGTTTTCTCTGCCCTGGTGATTCTCTGAGATCCCGCCCTGCCCAACTTGGAGGCCCACCCAAGCCACTTCCAGTGGCTTTTCCATAAAAATAGACCATCTTGGCTTATGCTGTAGACTGTCCTAAAACCTCTCAAAGATTAACAAACTCCAAACAAGCAGCATCTGGCCTTGGCATGCCCTGTCTGTCTTGCTGAGCTGCCCCAATCCTGGCACTAGCAGCATCCAGCCTTGGTTGGTGGCTTGGCCTCTCCCAGGCACCTCCATGCCCAGCACAGGTGGCTTCCATTTGTGGATTGCATTTTGGTTGAGCTTGGCCTGTATCAGGGCCCCTCCCAGGAGACCCTGGGGCCCACACGCCCAGTGTCCTGCTTTGGACTTAGCTGGAGCACCACCCAGCTGCCTTCATGGGCAACACAACCAAAGGGAAGATTAGGCAGGCACCAGAGCCCTACTAATTCGAATCCTGCACTATAGGGTCAGCCCCTGCACAACAACTTCTCCTCTGTAGTCACAGGCAGTCCTCACAGCCAGTCATCCTGAGGGTCAATCGCTCCTATTGATGTGCAAATAATAGTAACCAAGGCTCAACTACAGCAGGAGAACACAGACAACCCACACAAGGGACACATCTGGTGCACCCAGCTCAGGTGATCAGGTAGACTGCGCTACTGGGCCCCACAGGACACCTACAACATAAAGCCACGCTACTAAGACTGGGAGACATAGCAGCCCTACCTAATACATAGAAACAAACACAAGGAGGCAGACAAAATGGGGTGACGAAGAAACATGTCCCAAATGACAGAACAGAACAAAGCTCCAGAAAAAGAAATAAACAAAATGGAGACAATCTATCAGCCACAGAGTTCAAAACACTGGTTATAAAGGTGCATAAGGATCTCAGGGAGAACTTCAACAAAAAGATAGGAAACATGAAAATGGAGGGAGAAAACATAAAAAAGAACCAGTCAGAAGTGAAGAATACAATAACTGAAATAAATATATTAGAGGGAATCAACAGAAGAAGACCGAATCTGCTATTTAGAAGATAAAGTAGCAGAAAACAATCAGAACAGCAAAAAGAAAAAAGAATCCAAAAAAATGAGGATAGTTTATGGGGCCTCTGGGACAGCATCCATCATACCAATATTTGCATCATTGGGATGTTGGAGGGGGAAGAGAGAGAGAAAGGAATTGAAAACCTATTTTTAAGAAATAATCAGGGAAAAAGTCCCTAACTTGGAGAAGGAAATAGACATATAAGCCCAAGAAGCACAAAGAATTCCAAACAAGATGCACCCAAAGAGGCGTACACCAAGACACATCATAATTAAAATGCTAAAGCTTAGAGACAAAGAACCTTAAATGTAACAAGAGAAAAGCAGTTACCTACAAGGGAGCTCTCATAAGACTATCAGCTGATTTCTCAACAGAAACTTTACAGGCCAGAAGGGATTGATAGGAAATATTCAAAGTTATGAAAAGCAAGGGCCTATAACCCTGAATAAGGTATCATTTAGAATTGAAGGACAAGTCAAAGAGCTCCCCTGACAAGAAAAAGCTAAAGGAGCTTATCAGCACCAAACCAGTATTACAAAATACGTTAGAGGGATTTCTTTAAGAAGAAGGAGAATAAGAAGAATAAGAATAAGAATAAGGTGGAAGAATAAGAATAAGAAGAGGAGGAGGAGGAGAACAAGAAGAAGAAAAGAAGAGAAAATAAATAAATAATATGAATAGTAAAATGGCAATGACTACATATCTATCAACAATTACTTTAAATATAAATGGATTAAATACTCTGATCAAGAGATAAGGTGGCTGAATTAATAAGAAAACAAGACCCTTACATGTGCTGCCTACAAGAGACTTAACTTCAGATCGAAAGACACACACACAAACTGAAAGTAAAGGGATGGAGAAATATAATTTTATGAAAATGGAAACAAAACCAAAAAAGCTGGGGTAGCAATACTTATACCAGACAAAATAGTCCTTAAAACAAAGGCTATAACAAAGAGACAAAGAAGGACCCAGTAATCTCACTTCTGGGTATTTATCCGAAGAAATCTAAAACACTACTTTGAAGGGACATGTGCACCCATATTTTCATTGCAGAATTATTTACAATACCCAAGATATGGAGGCAATCTGGGTGTCCACCAAAGAATGAATGGATAAAGAAGAGGTGGTACATATATATAATGGAATATTACTCTATAAAAAAGAAATGAAATCTTGCCATCTGCAACAACATGGATGAACCTAGAGGGTATTGTGCTGAGTAGAGTAAGTCACACTGAGAAAGACAAATGCCATTTGATTTCACTTATATGTGGAATCTAAACAAACAAAACAGAAACTCATAGACGCAGAGAACATTTTAATGGTTGCCAGTTGGGAGGGCGGTTGGGGCAGAAGTAATAAAAGGGAACCAATTAAGAAGTACAAATTGGTAGTTACAAAATAGTCATGGGACTGTAGGGAATAGCATAAGGAATATAGTCAATAATATGGTAATAACTATGTATGGTGTTAGATGGGTGCTAGATTTATTGAGCTGATCACTTCATAAGTTATTAATATATAAATGTCTAATCACTATGTTGTACACCTGAAACTAATATAATATTTCATATAAACTATAATTGAAAATTTTAAAAACTATTTTTAAAAATAGATATATTGACTCATATCAAATATGACGAGTCTTGGTTCAAGAATTATTAATTTAAATATCATCTAATGACATCATAAAGGGTCCATAAAGTCTGAAGAGAAATCAAAATAGTACCCACTGATTATTTTTTTAATTTTTGCCGCATTTAAACTCTGCTGAGTTTCTGATACATGAACATTTTATTCACTAATGTTTTCTCTGAAAAGATGTTTTGATAGGTCTCATTCAGCTAATGGATACATATGAAAAATAAATACTTAGTGAGGTATTTAATGAAACATTCAACCCTGGTGTCACCAGAGCAGTCACCAAGACATTACTATAACTTTGAATGAACTGTACCTTAATATGTCTGCTTTTTAAAATATAAGTGCAAAAACCGTAGGACTGAATCCATTTGACTGAATTTTTATGTAGCAGTTGTGTGGGAGAAAATATTTGAAGACTGTGCATTAATAATGTCAGAATATTTCCTAAAACAAATATTGAATATTCTGACTTTTAGTATAAAATGGCCATTGTTTTTAAGAATGGAGGAACCAACTCTGAAATTAAGATGTAAGTTATTTGATTTATAGATTTCTACTTTACAGATAATTTTCCAACAATATTGTATAAGTCTGATCAAGCAATATTAATTTAGAATGCTGTGTACTATAGTAGTATATATAATAGTGTAATAGAATCTCCAGTAGTAGTATAGCTAAGACTCTACATTTACTTTTCATGTAGTATGGCTCTCTGTGTAAAATTACATTTTGGGGTCATTGTTTGTAACATGTTTCCGTATTATTATTAATTCTAAGAGCCAAAAGTAATTTCTTAGTTGATTTTTACAATTTATTCTCTTGCGTACACATAAACATTTCATCTCCAATAATAGTAAATTGTAAAAAGAGAAATTTGAGCACACATATTAAAATTTCTGTAGGCTAGATTTCTAGAAGTCAAATTACTTGGTCAAGAACAAGGGTGCATGAAGTTTAAATTTTATTAGAGAGTGATGAATTGCCTTTCCAAAAAAGTTTTTCCAATTCGAATCTCTACTGACAGTACAGGACAGAGGCCATTTCCCAAAGTCCAGTCCTTACCAATAGTTGATATTATTTGCCCGTTTTTGCAATGCTTTGTGTTTTGTTTAACTAATTACTCTATAAAAGTTTTAAAATATACTGGATATAAGTCCATAAAAGATATGTATGCCTTTTGAACATGTTTTATGTATTTTTGTCCCATTCTGTTGCTTGCCCTTTAACTTCATTTTTTCTATCTCTTGGCAAACAATTAAAATTTGTAAGGTCAAATTTGTCAGTCTTTTTCCTTCTGGATTTTAAGTTTTGTTTTTTGCTTG